AATCACCAGGAGACTGGGAGTTCTAGTCCCGCCTTAGGAATGAAAGCCGACTGGGTGACTTTGGGCCAATCACCAGGAGGCAGGGAGTTCTAGTCCTGCCCTAAACACGAAAGCAAGCCGGGGGACTATGAGCCAGTCCTTCTCTCATCCCAACCCCCCTCACAGGGTTGTTGTGTGAAAAATAGGAGAAGGAAAGTGCATTAGGTACGTTCACCTCTTCGAGTCATGTATAAACAACCATGAAAGTAGGATGAAAATGCAAGCCATGCGTCCATCTTTAAACTTAGCAAAACAATTGTCTTCCCTTTTTTCAACCAAATCTTTTTTTTAAAAAAACACAATTTTATTGGTTCTTTTAAAAACAAACAAAACAAACAGAACATAAAAACATCAGCTCTCTTCCATACATATATACAAGCAGTGTGTCGGTTGGTTCATCAGTTTTGTGCATTCATTTCGTAGTCTCCATTACAATTACATTACATAATAACTTGTATTATCAATCCAAACTTCTATATCCTAGTATCACGATTAGAAAATCACTTGACTATGATCTGATTCATTCATACTTTATGAGATAACTATCATTTAGGTAGTTTATTCTATAACAGATCATATAATCGTACCAAATCTATCCTAAAAAACACTTTTCAACCAAATCTTTATGCAGATGCCGGAGCCCCTTCTACCCTACCCCACCTCAAAAAGTATAACCGGATCCTTCACTTCAATATGTGAAGTTGTTTTTAAGGGCCGTTCCATTCTTTATGGGGGGCAAAAATATCCATTTGCTTCTTTTTGGGATCTCCCAAGTAACATTTTCACGGCTAAGGTGAGACTAGAACTCACTGTCTCCTAGTAATTGGCCCAAAGTCACCCAGATGCTGCCCTTTATGGCTAAAGTGGATCTTTAACTTACTGACTCCTGGTAATTGACCCAAAGTCCCCCACCTGGCTTTCATGTCTAAAGTAGAACTAGAATTCACTGCCTCCTGATGATGGTCCAAAGACACCAGCCGGCTTTCAAGGCTAAAATGGAACTAGAACTCATTGTCTCCTGGTGATCGGCCCACAGTCACCTAGCTGTCTTTCGTACCTAAAGTGTGGAACCAGAACTCAGCATCTCCTGGCGATTGGCCCAAAGTCCTCCACCTGGCTTTCGTACCTGAGGTGGAACTAGAACTCCCAGTCTCCTGATGATGGTCCAAATTCACACAGCCGGCTCAGCTCGCCGTAGCATAAACCCAGCATTCATCATGCTCATTGCAACTTCTCAGGGGTGTCCTTTCTTGACTTTTTGGTGGTCAAAAAAGTCAAGATGCTCCCCCACCCCCCTCCAACGGTGGGATCCAAACTCCACCTGGTTGTTTTTAGGTGCAACACATACTGTGTTGATGTGAGTGATTTTAAGCAACTTGAGGGGAGTGTGTGGGGGGGTGCCTCATCCTGGAACAGACTCCAAGTCTACTCACAGTATGATTTTTTTTTCCTTTCGCTCCGGGGCTGAAAGACGACACCGCGTCCCGTCGCCCTATTTTACGTGTCCTCTTCCCTTCTGCAAAGTCACGACTTAACGCCTGACAAACACAACACACGGCGCTGGATGCCCCCTCTGAACAGCCTGTTCTGGGATGCCAAATCGCATCTCTGCCGCCTCCCAACGCAAATATTAGCGCAAATCTTCGCGTCCATTACGGATGGGGATATTGGCTTCTTTTGCAGTAGGCAATTTATCTAATTACTTTAGCCCAGAGAGAGCCAGTTGTTTTTGGGTGGGAGAAGATGCACTTGGAAAACGTGGCAGGTCATCAAATGGGTTCCAAATATAACACAAGCCGCTTTCTGGGGGTGCGGGGGGTGGGGGCTGGATATGCTCCTGGGCGCACGTCGGCCGGGTTGGAGGAGAAAAAGGCAGCCGTTCTTTGGGATTTGAGATTGGCAGACCCTGGAACGGAGCCCAGCCCAAAAGAACGAGGGGTCTGACATCTCATGGCTCCCTCAGAGTCTCCCAGGATGAAAAATAGGGCCAACCTAGAGGCGTTTTTTTTCACACTGAGATGACACCTGAAATAAACCCAGGCTCCAAGATCCCCGCAGGTGGGGACTGCAGCCAAGAAATCCAAAGACGCTCGCTCCTGGGGAGGAAAGCTGTGGCAAATCTAGACAGGATACTAAAAAAGGAGAGCCCCCCCCCCCCCCCCCCGGCCAACAAAAGTGCGTAGAGTCAAGGCGATGGTTTTCCCAGTGGCAATATATGGCTGTGAAGGTTGGACCAGAAGGAAGGTTGAGCGCCAAAGAACGGAGGCCTTTGAACTCTGGGGCTGGAGGAGGAGACTCTGGCGAGTCCCCTGGACCGCAAGGCCATCCAACGGGTCAGTCCTAGAGGAGATCAGCCCTGGCTGCTCTTGAGAAGGCCAGATCCTGAAGAGGAAACTCAAAGACTTTGGCCGAATGCTGGGAACGATGGAGGGCAATAGAAGAAGGGGACGGCAGAGAATGAAGTGGCTGGAGGGAGAAAACTGAAGCAGTTGACATCGGTTCTGGAGAACCGGTAGAGAACATTTTGAGTAGTTCAGAGAACCAGCCAATCCCACCTCTGACTGGCCCCGCCAACCCCATCTCTTCTCTGCCTCCCATCGAGTCCCAGCTGATCGGCTGGGTCTTTGGTTGCCATGCACAGGAGAACGGAGCTGGAAAGCAGGTTAGTGGGGTGGGGAGGGAATGTTCTGACCCAAACCTGGTTCCACGAGAGTAAACACAAGACAAAGGTACCAGCACAACCTTTTAATGCTTCATTTACGAATCCCGTTCCTTCGCGGATAAAAGGCTGCTTCCAACAAATTAGCTCCGATAAGAAAGAGCCTTGCCAAGTTTTGGCAAGGCTGCCAAGAACACCAGATAAAGTTACTAAACAACAAATCAGAGAGACTCCAAATATCAACTCAGATATTCTTAACGCCCACCAGGCTCCAGTATCAAACTACTTTGCCTTCTGCAAAGAACTGCAGTTTCTCAGCTGGCTTTTATCTTCTCAGGGAGGGGCCATTACTTTGCAGCCTTACTCCCGAGTCGCCCGTTGCTGCTGCAGCTGCTCTTTTCTTCGAGCAGCCCTGCACCCACACGCACTGGGCACAGGCTCCTTGGGGACCTCTTCATCAATGCTGCCAGCCTCCACAATCTCCAAAGGCAGCATTCCACTTCCTGAGGGTCCTGACCCCATCCCTGCATCACACGCAGGCCCCTCATCTGACCCCTGCCATGCCCACCAAGTCACGCCCACAGAACTAGTAGTAAAAAAAATTGAATGCCACCACTGACAGGAAGGCCTGGAGGAATGTTGTGCATGGGGTCGTGATGGGTCAGGCTTGACTTCGCAACTCACAACAAATTACAGGTAGTCCTAAATTTAGAAATATTCTTAGTGCGCTCTGAACTTGGTTGTTTTCTTGGTAGACGTTTCATTACCCAAAGTAGGTAACATCATCAGTTGCTAGAAGGAACTGTATACACAGAGGTGGCATTCAACAGGTACTGACCAGTTATGGAGAACCGGTAGTGGAAATTTTGAGTAATTCGGAGAACCGGCAAATACCACCTCTGTGTGATGACCCAAAAGGGGCGTGGCACAAAAGCAACAAAGTCACAAAAGTAGGTAAAGTCCCTTTAATGCCTCCAATTTAGCCTCCAATGTCCAGTTATCATCGTCTGGAGAAAAAACTTTCCCAAGAACAGTTTTTAAAGGGAAGAAATTTAGTCCAAACCCAAAGTACATCTAAATTATAAATAAAAAGCAACAGAAACCACACGCTGCGGCAATTAACGAGACAGGGCAGGATAAGGGATTGCAGAAGTCAAAAGATAACGAAACACACACAGTTGGAAGGATGCCAGAACCCAGATAGGACTTGACAAACAAAGACAATGCACGCTTTGCTTCCAGCAAGGTTCTGTGCACAAACACTCTCTTTATCCTGTTTTCCCAGCTGCAGCTAATGAAGGGAATCAGGGCCCTTTTCTCCCCCGTAATCCATGTTGCTCCCTCATCCATTCCTCCCTGCGTGCCCTAGGATGAAGAGGGGGTGGGCTTGGGTCTTCCTCTGGAGCCACACTGGAGCCACACTCCCACTCCCTGTCAGCTGCTCGACCTCCCCCTCAGAATCAGACTCCAACAGGAGCATGACAGCAACATCCAGACAAGGCCGCATCTTTTAACTCCCAATAAATCCTTTTGGAGTTTGGCTCGAGACTCATGATTTAAATGGGGTTAAGTGACAGCTCACTTAAGAAACGTCTCACTCAGCCACAGAAATTCTGGGCTCAACTGTGGTCGTAAGTCGAGGGTGACCTGTGTTTTAATCACGCACCTCTGCCTCTTTTGCAGTTCCTCATCTCGGAGGGTGACCAGGAGCAGCTGCCGTGCCCAGCCGAGTGCCCCCCACACCAACATGGCCGCCCCGTCTGTGCCTCCGACGGGAAGTTTTACAGGTCGGCCTGCGCCTTCCAGGAAGCCAGGTGTGAACATCCTCACCTGCAGGTGTGGCCTCGCTTCCGCTGCAGGGGAGCTGCCCGGCGGGATAATAACAGTAAGGGGACCAGGACTGGGGACGGATTGGAAGCGGGGTGGGGAAAGCTGGCAGGGAGATGCCCCTGTCTGAAGATGGCCGAAAGCAGCAGGAGAGAATTTTGGGGAAGGGTGGTTTTTCCCAGGTGGCCGTAGCTGTGAAACTGCTTATAAATAATCCTTGTCTTATGACTGCAATTGTCCAAACCTCCAAGGGACTGGCCCCTGGTGGCCATAGCTGTGAAACTGGGCTGCGGTGTGGATTGATTGATTGGCAAATTGCTTATTGGTATTCCTCGACTTATGACTGCGATTCTCCAGACCTCCAAGGGACTGGCCCCTGGTGGCCATAAGTTATGAAACCGGCCTGCAGTGTGGATCGATCGATTGGCTAATTGCTTACAGGTAGTCCTCGGCTTACGACCGCAGTTCTTCAGAGTCCCAAGGGACTGGCCCCAGGTGGCTGTAGCTGTGAAACCGGGCTGCGGTGTGGATTGATTAGCAAATGGTTTATAGGAGTTGAAGGCCCCCGCTCCCCCGTCTAAAAGTCGCCAATGTTCAGGCAGCCTGTTGCAATGTCCGATCTTGACTTGTGTCTTCCTCCCATTTCTTCCACAGGTGCCAATTTGACGCGTTGCCAGGAAGACCGAGCAGCTGCCCTCGCCAAATCCCGGCGCCAGACCCAGGCCCCCTACGTGCCTGAATGTAGCGAGAATGGCGCCTTCCTGGAGGTGAAGATCTTTCTGCGTCTTGCTTACGGCACCGGGCGAGCTTCCTTTCTCTTTCTCTTTTCTTTCCTTTCTCTCTCTCTCCCTCAAATACTGGAAGATGCTCTCCTGCCTCCCCTGGTCCTTCTCTTCCCTAGACCAGCCATGCCCAGTTCCTGCAACCATTCATCGTATGTTTTAGCCTCCAGTCACTCTCTCTTGCCGACTGTCTGAATTCTGACTTATGTGGACGCTGCTGTGGTCATGAGTGTGAAAAACGGCCCCAAGTCAATTTCTCCAGTGCCATCGTAACTTTGAATGGCCACTAAATGAACTGTCGTAAGGCGAGGATTACCAGCAGGGGACTCTTAAGGATGCTGCAACGGTCGTGTGTCATAAGTCACATTTTTATGGCCGTTGTAACTTCAAGCAGTTGCTAAACGAATAGTCGTAAGTCGAGGACTTACCTGTATCCCGGGCACATCCCCTCATCCATTCTCTCTCTCCTGCCTGCGCAGATCCAGTGCCATAAACAAACGGGCTATTGCTGGTGCTCCACCCCGGAAGGCAAACCCATCGCAGGAACGTCTGCCCTGAACCAAGCGCCCAATTGCACAGGTAAGGCATCCTGGGTATTCTCTTACCTCCAACCAGGCTCAGGGGTGGGATTCTACCAGTTCGCACCTATTCGCTAGAACTGGTTGTTAACATCCTAAGCAGTTCAGAGAACCAGTTGTTAAAAGAAATTACAGGGCTAATCCTGTAAGGAAGGCAGGAAGGAAACATTCTGGTGTTGCTTACAGAAACTGCCTCTCTGTTAACCATTCTTGGCAGGACTGGACTTCCTGTCTCTGGAACTTCTCTGGGGTTTTTTTCCCCTCCTTTGCTGGTACTTTGCTTGTGTGGAGTGATCATTCAAAGTTACAATGGCCCTGAAAAAAGTGACTTATGACCGTTTTTCACACTTATGACTGTTGCAGCATCCCCACAGTCATGAGAGGCCAGGCGAGAAGTTGCATGCCTCGATGTGAGTGATATTGAGTTGGCCACACCCAGCCAATAACATGACCACCAAGCCATGCCCGCCACCTAACCCACGCCCACAGAACTGGTTGTTAAAAAATTTGAATCCCACCCCCGGCCAGGCTCCTGTTCTAACCCAAACCTGGTTCCACGAGAGTAAACACAAGACAATGGTACCAGCACGACCTTTTACTGTTTCATTTACGAATCCTGTTCCTTCACAGATAAAAGGCTGCTTCCAACTAATTTGCTCCAATAAGAAAGAGCCTGGCCAAAAATCAATATAAAATGTTTTGTAGATGCCACTTAGCGCCGGCAAGACTGGCGAAAATGTATCCAAATATAAAACTGGAATTCTGGAAGTGCAAACAAAAAAAAGGAACGTTTTTCCATATGTGGTGGCAATATATAAAGAGGTTAAAAAATATTGGAAGAAGGTACGGAGATGTCTCTTTGAGATTATAAATTATAGATTGAAATTGGAACCAGAAACGTGTCTATTTTATATGATTAAAGGAAATTTGAGCAAAGATAAAAGATATCTTATTGTATACATCTTAATGGCAGCAAGAATCACCTTTGCACAAAGCTGGAAGAGTGACAAAATACCACCAGATGAGGCTTTAGTTCAAAAAATAATGGACTGGCAGAGCTAGACAAATTCACTATGGAACTAAAAGGGAAGGATGATCGAGAATATTATGCAATATGGGATAGGTGGTACGAATGGGTGAAGAATATAGATAGAAAGGTATAGTTACAAAATGAGAAACATGTATATATAATGACACAAACACTGTTAATGTACATGAGAGTTTTGTATTTTTGGTTTTTAAAGAATAAAAATTATTAGAAAGAAAGAAAGAAAGAAAGAGTCTTGCCAAGTTTTTGCAGGGCTGCCAAAAACAACAGATAAAGTTCCTAAACAATAAATCAAAGAGTCTCCAATACCAACTCAGATATTCTAACATCCACCAGGCTCGAGTATCAAACTTCTTTGCTTCCTGCACAGAACTCCAGTTTCTCAGCTGGCTTTTATCTCTTAAGGGAGGGGCCATCATCTTGCAGCCTTACTCCCGAGTCGCCTGTGCTGCTGCAGCTGCTCTTTCCTTCGAGCAGCCCTCTGCGCATGCGCATTGGGCAGAGGCTCCTCGGAGTGCTCTTCATCATTGCTGCCAGGCTCCACCATCTCTGAACTCCCTGAGGGTCCTGGCCCCAACCCTGCATCCCACGCAGGCCCCTCATCTGAGTCCTCGCTCTCCGAGACCTCATCCGTCCACACCTGCTGCCAGCGAATCACGACAGCTCCTGGGGGCTGATGAGTGGGGTGGAGAAACGAGGAATTTATCCAAGATTTATCTTCTTGGTTCGGGTGGCTCGGTTTCTCTTCTGAACTGAAATAATTAATGCGGAGAAAATAATATTTTTTGGTCTTTTAATGACCCCGTAATCCCTTGCATCAGGGTGAAATCGGGGCAACTGAATGGAGCTGACTGTTTACTGGCCGGATGCCTTTCCTGTCACCAGTGAGGAGCTTTGTTCAGCAGAGAGAGTCTCATTGTCCCCAGAGAGAGAAATATCTGCTGCTACCAAGGATCGAACTCACAGCCTTCCGATTGTGAGGCGAGAGCTCCACCTCTAGGCCACTGCACAACTCAGAGAAAATAATTAATAATTAAATTGAATTAAATTGAATATATTTATTAATAAATTTAATAGTCATTTATTAATAAATTAATAAATATCCAAGGGAACTGGATCAAGATCAAGAACAGCTAGAAATCCAGATTAGCGGATAAGAGCGGTGTTTTTTTTCAAACCTGGCTACTTTAAAACCTATGGACTTCAACTCCCAGAATCCCCCAGCCAGCATGCGTTGCTGGAACGTCCAATCACAACGGTGTTTATAAACCAAGGACTGTCTGTAAACCCTGGTTAGTCACCCCTTGATTCCTTTTGTCTCTTTTGCTTCTGCCACAAACCAGGAACGGATTCGGTGGGAACGTCATGGCAAGATGCCCGTTCTTCTAAGCGAGGTAAGCCGCCTTCTGCTCACACTTATGCCCAGCGACTGAGTGTGCACGATGTGCCTAACTTGGTTAGTGAGTTAACCCGTGTTCTGGATTCACACCGTGCACTGACCCAAGTTCAAACTAACCCGGTTTAGCATGTTATGGGGATCATGTAGGCTCTAGACCAGTATTTCTCAACCTTAGCCACTTTAAGATGTGTGGACTTCAACTCCCAGAATTCCCTAGCCAGGTTAGGGAATTCTGGGAGTTGAAGTCCACCCATCTATAAGTGACTAGG